AACCTACAGTGTACCTATTTGATCGGTATTAAATCAAGATTCTATTCCAGGAATTATGGAAGAATTTCTTGTATAAATAGTATTTGCTTACAAAAGGACAGGCAAGCTGCTAGTGCAAACTTTCTCTCAGTTACAAAGTAGAGAATTATTATGAGCAGAACTTCAGTTGCTTGGCTGCAGACAAGAGAGCGATGTTTACTGTTTGCACTTCATAATTTTGCTATAGTTCAAATCACACTTTTGAGAACAGCTAGTAATATTTTAAACAAGATGTCCTTCACCATTCCATTTCTTACTAATAGCTTTTTCAAGTATTCTTGTAGTCACAGAACACAATGTGCTGAATTTCATGAAAAATGTGATATTAATGTTGTAATTTTACACTCTGGAGCTACTGAATGCATATACTGAAGACATGATGAAGTATAAAGAGTTGCAATAATACGTACAGTTATGGCTATCACTTCTTGGTTCGTTGCTAAGAATAATGCCTTGTGTAGTATTTGAATTTGAATTTCAGACTTTAATCATAGTTTTGCTCAGCAGTAACTGGTATTCGCTGGATCAGTTGAAAAAGACATGCACATTCAAAGCAAGAAATGGTTGGGTTCGGACAATCCTCTTAACTAAGTCAGTGAAAGACCTAGCAGATATACTCATACAATGTACTAAGTTGGGTTAGTGTTAATGTTGGTTTGACTTTTTATAGCTTAGTATGCTGTGAGAACCCAAACTCTTTAATCTAAGAATGTGGGTTCTCATAGCATTCTAAGTTGTATAAAGTCAAACCAACATTAACACTTTTTTTTTTAATTTGATTTCTATGCCGCCCTTCTCCGGAGACTCACGGTGGCTTACAATGCATTAAGCAATAGCCTTCATACTTTTGTATATTGATACAAAGTCAGTTTACTGCCCCCACAAACTGGCTCCTCATTTTACCTACCTTAGAAAGGATGGAAGGCTGAGTCAACCTTGAGCCTGGTGAGATTCGAATTTATAGAAATTCGAATCAGTAACCAGACAGCTGGTGTTAATCACAATGCTTTTAGTCTGCTGAGCCACCAGGCCCTGTGGCTCACCAGGCCCTGTGGCCATTAACCCAACTTAGTATATTTTTTGAGTACAACTGCTAAGTCTTCTTCCTCCTCCTCCTCCCCCTTCTCCTCCTCCTCCTCCTCCTCCTTCTCTTCTTCTTCTCCATCTCCATCTTCTTCATCATGAGTTGAAAGGGACTTTCTAGTCCAATTCCCTGCTCAAGTAGGAGACCCAACATTAATACTAACCCAATTTAATATATTGTATAAATACATCTGTTAGGTCCTCCTCCTCCTCCTCCTCCTCCTCCTCCTCCTCCTCCTCCTCTTCTACTTCTTCCTCTTCTTCTTCTTCCTCTTCCTCTTCCTCTTCCTCTTCCTCTTCCTCTTCCTCTTCTTCTCCTCCTCCTCCTCCTCCTCCTCCTCCTTCTCCATCTTCATCTTCATCATCATGAGTTGAAAGGGACTTTCTAGTCCAATCCCCTGCTCAAGTAGGAAACCCAATAGTACCATTTCAGTCAAATCTCTTCTTAAAAGCCTCCAGTGATGGAGCACCCACACCTTCTAAAGGCAAGCTGTTCCACTGGTTAATTGTTCTCACTTACAGGAAATTTCTCCTTAGTTGTAGGTTGTTCGGTTAGTTTCCAACCATTGCTTCTTGTCTTCCCCTCCCCCTCCCCTTGCATCCCTCAAATATCTTCCAACAATTAAAACTGTGGAATCCACAATGTTGGAAGATGCTGATGGCTAATAGAATCTGTGAGTAATCCCTGTACTTTTGTCAAGTACAATGACTAAACTGAATAATGTAAGCCTCAATGACTATATAGAAGACAATAATTGAACCGGTTCCACACCCCTTGAAGAATATGTACTTTATTATGAAAATATATTCTATCTTCACAAGGCAGTAAATTATAGTATTTATGGAATCTTAATGATCTAAGCGCAGTTGGAGCCTGAAGGTCAAGACTGCAAACAGCATCCTAAATTTCTGTTTACCAATGAAGCTTTGTATTTATTACAGCACTGTTTTTGCTGCTATAGTTAAAGGTCTGCCAGCATTTCCATTATAAACCACTATTTCAGAGGTTTATAACTCAGTCATAAATCTCTGCTCCAGAATGAAACACAGTGCAAAACAAGGTCTCCAGTGTGGGAGCATTTTTTTTCTCCTCTTCCATTTCTTTCTCATTTGCTATATGGAAATTCTTATTTTTAAAAAATGTAGAAACCATCTAAAATATTGAAGACGAACAACCAACTCTCAGTGGACTCGATGGAATGTATATTTTTCAGAAATAAGAATCTAGGGCTGGTTCAATATGTTTCCACCTTAAGAGGAGAAATCAAACAAAGTCTACTGTTTAATGCATTGTTTCGACTTTTATGAACATCCACACATACTAATGTCAGGATATTATAGAATTTTCTCTCCAGAGTTCTTAACAGAAACTGCCAGATGCTTTTTGCTGTGGATACGGGGCTTCTAAAGCTATAAGATATTGAGTCTTAGAATAAGCCACGAATAAGCCATTTCTTTATTTTTGATAGCCTGTTTACAAGAATCTTGCCAGATTGATTGCAGTCCCATATAAACTGGCAGGTAAGGTCTTCACAAATCCAGCCTATGTCATTTCCTCCCTCACAGAAGCTTTAGCTGCTACATTTTTTTTTCACTCTGTCTTTTAGTTGGTAATTCCACCACGGTTGAACTTGTGAATACTGGTTGAAAAGGTGATTGAAGGCTAAATGATGTAGATGGCTTTGCTGTGGTAAAGAAATGGGCCATCCATCAGCTCTAATATGAATGAATATATTTGGACATTGCAGCTACACCATTCTGGAAAAGATGCAGCCTCTTTAAAAGGTTGAGGACATATACCACATAAGCAGCTCAGTGGTCTCCAAAGCACTTTTCCCTCTTTAAATCTAATGCACTACCATCATAGCAATAGCACTTAATATACCGCTTTCCAGTGCTTTCCAGCCCTCTCTAAGATGTTTACAGAGTCAGCACATTGCCCCCAACAATCTGGGTCCTCATTTTACCGACCTCGGAAGGATGGAAGGCTGAGTCAACCTTGAGCCTGGTGAGATTCGAACTGCCAAACTGCAGGCAGCTGGCAGTCAGCAGAAGTAGCCTGCAGTACTGCACTCTAACCACTGCGCCATCCTGGCTCTTTCATAATGTCTCTAACACTTCCCTATTATCTGAGCTGACATTCTTAAAATATAATAATATTAGGAAACAAAGATAATAAAAATGAATAAAAATAAAAATAACTCAAAACAAAATAAACAAAATAATAAACTGGATACATACTGGATTTTTTTTTTATTTTATTTTTTTTGTACAAAAAAAAATTGTAATGTCCTAGAAATGAAAAATTGGTGGGAATGTTTGATTGAAAAAGTAGTCGCAAATGAGATTAAAATAATATGGATTTCTGGATGCAAACTGATAATGTCTTGGGTCATATAACTGTGATTGAAGAGAAGAAAATGTGGATAAATAGATGTGGCAATAAAAGACAAGAAATTGAAGAAGATCACAGAGTATCAAGACCTGAAAATTGAAACCAAAATATTATGGCATAAACCAGCTGTGGTGGCCCCAGCAGTTATCAACACACTGGATGCCATACCAGAAAATCTTGGACAGTCCTTAGAAAATCTGCGCTTTGACAAAATCTCCATCGGTCAATTGCAAAAGTCTACATTGCTGAGATTTGCACATATAGTTCACTGATACATTACAATCTCCTAGGATTTTTGGGAAGAACTTGATGCTTATGAAGGTCAACACCAGCTAAAGAACTGATAGCTGTGATTTCACATTGTTGTGTCTATAATAATAATGTTTAAGAGCTACAACCTAGTAGACGGTTTGCTTTTAAAATGTGTGTCCCCTACAAAAAAGAGCAAAATAATCTTCCACTGATTTTCCTTGATAGCAATATGTCACAATAAGGACGATGTTGTACTGAACTGTTACAAAATTACATGCTAGGTTTGCTATGGGTTGCATTTCTTTTAGTTGTATCTTGTTATATCCACAAAAGTACACCAGATCAGTGGTGAAATTCAAAAATTTTCCCTACCAGTCTTGTGGGTGTGGCTTGGTGGGCATGGTTTGATGGTCATGTGACCGGGTGGGTGTGGCTTGGTGGTCATGTGACCGGGTGGGCGTGGCTGCACAACTGACTCACACGCAATGTAAAAGCATCTGGACTTCACACAAAATGGCCCCTGCAACAAGCAGGAACCTCAGAGTCACAGAGAGCTCAAAAACAAACTATCACACTTTACACAAAAATAACATAAGAGCTGCACAACTGATTCACACGTAATGTAAAAGCAGTTGGACTTCAGACAAAATGGCCCTTTCAACAAGCAGGAACCTCACTTCGTCACAGAGAGCTCAAAACCAAACTATCACACTTTACACAAAAATAACACAAAAGCTACACAATTGACTCGCACACAATGCAAAAGCAGCTGGACTTCACACAAAATGGTCCCTGCAACAAGCAGGAAGCTCGCAGACAATCAGGCACAGCTGATTTTCTCACAGTTGATTGGTAGTAAAAAAAAATGCTAAAAACAAAAAATTTAAAAAAAAAGTTCTGACATTGCCCAGCACAGCTGATTGTCACACAGCTGATCTTCAGAACTTTTTTTTACTTTTTTAAAGCATTTTTTTTACTAAGGTTTGGGCAAATAGGTAGTAAAAAAATAGTTTAAAAAAGTTAAAGATCGTGCGGCACAGCTGATGTACTTTTTAAAGTATTTTTTTACTAGCAGTTCGGGCAAACGGTAGCAATTATTACTACCGGTTTGGGCGAATCGGCCTGAACTGGTAGCATTTCACCACTGCACCAGATGTGTAGCAAGGCAGCTGCCAAAGACAAGTAAAATGACCACACTAGTTGACATAAAGATGTAAAGTTCTGCTTTTACCTGTAAAACCCTGGTGGAACACCTGAAACTAAGAAGTTTTTCTCAAGACTCTGCAGTATGTCATTCAACATCCTGATACGTGCAGGAGCTCTTTCTTTTGGGTCATTGGCTGGCCGCATCTCATCTGATTGAAACAATTCTGCACTCTCCCGTAAAGCATAGGCCACCTTCAGCAAATTGCCAACATTATGAGGCTCGTCTGTTAAGAAAGGAATATGATACAAAAATAGTTTAGCTTTATTGACATACTAGGTTACTGATTCATTTCATTGTGATAGTTTTAACCAACTCTGTCTGTTAATCCAGGATATTGCCTACATTTCCAAAGAATTGGCCAACAAAGAAGTTGTCCAATTGTACACAATTTTCATTTGTAGCATATATTGCTTAAAACATAAAGTATGTCTGGGATACCGATTCCAAATTAATGTAAGCTTAATGTCAGATCTGGAACCCATATTTTATCTTTGGGCCTTCAGGCCTGCCACATTTTCTACCATGGGAAAATGGGAGAGAGGATTGCATTGAGTATGGGTGATATGTAATCAAAATAACATTCCTTTCTCAGAGAGTCAAGAACGCCTTTCCCTGGCACCTGGAGTTGGTTGACTGGGAAGTATCTCCAGTTTGGACAGTGAATGATTGGACCATGTGATGGACATGTGGGTGGATGCTAATAGATAGTAACTGATTTCAAGAACATCAAATGAAGATGGAAGATGTATATGAAAATAGTTTGTGGCAGAGATGTCTACATCTAAAATATCTTTTAAGATATCTTCAAGTACTAGAAGATGAAGTCAGCTCAGCACTACCAAGATGGAAGGTGACAGAAACTGATGACTAACTATTTAATTATGACAACCAACAGAAGTATTAATAAAGCTTCTAATCAAATAATGGCATAAAATCTGAAGAATTAGATTTTAATTCTTAGAATTAGAGCAGGGGTGTCATACTTGCATCAACGGTGTTGTCATGTGACGTATCATGAATTTTTTCCCCTTTGCTAAACCAGGCATGGGCATAGCCAGCATGTGACACATCCAGCCCGCGGGCCATGAGTGTGAGAGCCCTGGCTTAGAGGATGAGAGATTGAAAGAAGTCAACATACATACCAATACCAAAGAAAGACTTCATAGAGAGTGCAGACCAGTGGTGGGTTTCAAATTTTTTTACTACCAGTTCTGTGGGTGTGGCTTGGTGGGCATGGCTTGGCTTGGTGGGCGTGGCAGGGGAAGGATAGTGTAAAATCTCCATTCCCTCCACACTCCAGGGGAAGGTTACTGCAAAATCCCCATTTCCTCCTGATCAGCTGGGACTTGGGAGGCAGAGAATAGATGACGGCGGGGCCAGTCAGAATTTTTACTACCGGTTCTCCGAACTACTCAAAATTTCCGCTACTGGTTCCCCAGAACTGGTCAGAACCTGCTGAAACCCACCTCTGGTGCAGACTATTATATGATATCATTAATCCACATGTTAACTACTATATCATCGTGCTCTCAAAACATTTTTATTTCAGCAGGCGGGCCTGGCCTAACTCTCCCTTTTAAATTTTTAAATCATTTAATTTGTTTATAAATTGGGTGTTTTAAATTTGTTTTGGCCAAAAAATTTAATAATTTTAATGGATTTTTAATGTTTGTATTATCTGTATTTTATCTTGGCTGTTCACCGCCCTGAGTCCTTCAGGAGTAGGGCAGGAAAGAAATTTGATAATAAATAAATAAATAAATAAATAAATAAATAAATAAATAAATAAATAAATAAATAAATGAGATTGCAGCAGATTAGAGTTCGTGGAGAGTGAGATGCCAGATATTTAAATTGGTTTTAAAAATTGGAAAGGGCCAAGGAAGAATATACGTTATTGCTGATGCATAATAGATAATTGGAAAAAACAGAGAATACAAGAATGAAGTCAATATTGTGCTGTATCGATTACAGAAAGGCCTTGATTTTGTTGAACATGTGAAGTTGCAGAATATCCTTAGAAAAATTAAAATCCCAGAGCAATTTGTCTTAATGAGAAATCTTTACACTGGATAGAAAATCACAGTCCAGAGGGAATTGTGGCTCCAGATTGGCTCCAGGTTGGTATAGGAGTAAGATAAAGCTATGTATATTATTATTATTATTATTATTATTATTATTATTATTATTATTATTATTATTATTATTATTACAATTACTATTATTATTGTTGTTGTTGTTAAATTTATTTATTAAATTTACATACCCCTCATCTCACTGTTTGGAGTGACTTTAGGCCTTACATCCTTCCTTCTTTATTTATTCAAACTATAAAATATGTATTGAAAGATGCTGGACTCCAAGAAGCATGGATTTAAAACTGGAGGAAGAAACATTAATAACACATACTATGACACTACTATGCAAATTATCTGCAAGCTTTAATAATGGAAGTTAATGAGCACAGTAAAAAATGAGACTAAGATTAAATATAAAGAAGACAAACTATTGACAAAAATCATAGCAACCAATCTTAGAGTTGTCTATAGAAATATTGAAGTTACTATCACTAGTGAAGGAACTCAGATTCAAGAAATATGCCTCAGATTAGCAATTGGTAGGGTAGCAATGAAGATAGGTAGTTTACCCAAAAGATCAAAATTGTGCAAGCAATGATATTCTCCTCTACGGAAACTATATGACACTCTAAAATGCTTTTGAACTTTGGAAAATACCACAGACAGCCAAGAAATCAAACCAATAGATCCTAGAACAAATCAATTCAGCGTTCTGAATTAAGGTACAAATGACTAGGCTCTGATTATCACATTTTATGTATATTGTGCTAAGGCACCAGTGGTGGGTTGCTCCCGATTCTATCTGGTTCTTTAGAACCGGTAGTAAAAGCGGCAGGAGGCTCCGCCAACCCGCCCTGATGTCATAATTGACAATCTGCACAGGCGCAGAAGTGCGCATGCGCACTCCCATTGCAAACCGGTAGTAAAGATAAGTAGAATCCACCCCTGTAAGGCACATAATGAGAAGTTCACTTTGTTGGAAAGGTGGGATGAAAGAAAAGACTAGGACAACAAGCAGCAATGAGGATCTGGATTAAAATAGTAATGGGAGCATTACAAGTTGAATTAAAGGGCCTGGTTTGGGGCAGTTCATATGGCTGCTAAGAGTTAGCACAGACCTGATGACAGATAATCAGTCAATCTAGTTTAGCTAACGTAGGGGAAAAAAACATTTTACTTATGATATGGCGACCTCAGTTATGTTCGGAAAAACAAACCACCATCACTACACAGATGCTTAAGGGCAGAAAACATATTTTACAAGTGTTAAAAAATCCATTGTTGCCCATTATAGGAGAAATGTTACCGCATTCATTCCCAATCTCTAGAATAAATATCCAGCCAGCGTAGTAAGAAAAGCTGTCTAAAATCTAGTTACATGCAGCAATTGCAATGAAATATTTGCCATATAATTCAGAAATCAACACCATGTTTTTTCCTAGTACCTTTGATTATACTCATTTAACAATTGAATATAAACCAAATGAGATTATCAATCCTGACTTAGTGAGACACGGCCTAGGAACTGGAATTGTAGGGTAATGAAAATGGTTTTCTTTTTAGTGAAATATTGTTTGCAAATCCCCCTCATTTTTTTTCCCTCTCCCTTCAAAGTGTTGCTGAAAGTTGTTTAGGCTGATATTAGAAAGCATTTCTAAATGGCATGTTCTGCCAGTTTTAGCCCCTGTGATAATTTAAAGAGTAATTCAAACTTTCTCCTTTCAGTTATAGCAAAACGAAGCCTACTACACTCATGAGATTATTAGAACTATTAAAACTGTACATCTTATTTCCTGAAATAAAGAGAACGTGTGTTTGATGATTTGAAAGGAAGGCACAAATAACTGGATGTTTCCATAACCACCTTGTTTGGGTGCGGACCTTTGTACAGACACAAGGGTAAGAAATCACAATAGATCTAAGGTGTGATTTAACTGAGATTAGTATTTGATCAACCCTATGGGATGAGGTGGCTCAGTGGCTAAGATGCTGAGCTTGTCAATCGAAAGGTCGGCAGTTCAGTGGTTCGACCCACTAGTGCCGCATAATGGGGTGAGCTCCCATTACTTGTCCCAGCTTCTGCCAACCTAGCAGTTTGAAAGCACATAAAAAATGCAAGTAGAAAAATAGGGACCACCTTTGGTGGGAAGGTAACAGCATTCCATGCATCTTTGGTATTTAGTCATGCTGGCCACATGACCACGGAGACGTCTTCGGACAATGCTGGCTCTTCGGCTTTGAAACGGAGATGAGCACTGCCCCCTAGAGTCATTTTTAATGAGGGAAAATATACTACTCTACTACTCTATACTGTTTTTGACCCAGTATCTTTATATGTATTTTACTTATAGATTTCATGGAATATGTTCTAATTTTCAGCTAAAAATGAATTTCATCCAGCCAATTATTTTTTTAAAGGAATTGCATTGTTTTTCCCTCTGCTTATGAGACACACAAAAAAATTCTATTCTTAAGCGTATAACAGCCTTTATTGACTTGATCTCACAATTTTCTTTACCTCTCATTGAAGGTTCATTAGGTTCAGTCACTTGATATCAAGGAAAGGGAATTGTCTTTTTTTTTTTTTTGCTTCTAATCTAAAATAAGATTCTTTTGCTCTGCTCTTTTCTGCAATTATGTTTAATGAAATCTCTTACAGGTCCTTATATTGTCCATTCTCTCTGTTTTCTATGAAGATAGGCCCCTGTTTTGGACTAATTTCACAAAATTTAAATTATAAAGTAGTCAAAAGAATACGGCTAGGTTTTTTTTTTGTTCATTATAGACTCTGTGTCAGGCCTGTGTCAATGCCATCTTTTGCATTGGATCTTCAGGCCTGCCACATTTACTATTGTGGGACACTGGGAGGGGGGATTGTATGGAGCAAGGGTGATATATAGTCATAATAACATTCCTTTCTCAGAGAGTCAAGGACATCTTGCCCTGCACCTAGAGGGGTGGAACTGGGAGGCATCTCCAGTTTGGACTGGGTGTTTTGATTGGACCATGTGACAGACATGTCAGCCGCCCTGAGTCTCCGGAGAGGGGCGGCATATAAATTTAATAAATAAATAAATAAATAAATAAATAAATAAATAAATAAATAAATGTGCTGGGCAGGGACTTGGACTTTCCTTTGGGTGGGGAAAACCTGGAAGATTCAGGTTTTCCCAGATGTGCCAATATGACATCTCTAATAAAATGGAACTTTGAGGAATTTCAAGCCTCAGAGTCTTTTTTCGTTGAGGGTATTACTTGGAACCCTGACACTCTGAAACATATATTCAAGCAATATGGAAATACGTTACTATCCAGGAGATCACCAAGATTGCAACCTCATTAACATGCATTTTTTAAAAAAGTGAAAACTCAATGCTAGATCATACTCGACATACACAATATTCATGAACATCTATTTTCCTGTATCTATCTGTTTATTATCTTTACCTTGTGCAATTTGCAATAAGCAACCAAAAATGAAGTGAGTTGTTGCCCCAAGCCATTATCTATGATAGAAACAAGATAAGGAGCCTTGGTAGTACAGTGGTTTAAAACACCCTGTTATTCACACAGCTGCCTGCAATTACTGCAGGTTCGAATCTTACCAGGCTCAAGGTTGACTCAGCCTTCCATCCTTTCTAAGGTAGGTTAAATGAGGACCCAGTTTGTGGGGCAATATACTTTGTATATATATATATACAAAAACTTTGTATAAATATACAAAAGTATGAAGGCTATTGCTTAACGCATTGTAAGCCGCCCTGAGTCTCCGGAGAAGGGCGGCATATAAATCAAATTAAAAAAAAAATATGCATGTGAAATTAAGACCAAACTCAGATTAAGAATGGTGCTTCCTGTTGAAATAGTGTCCCCAGTAGCACCTCTCTCCCTGGGGGTTGCCAGCCGGCCAACGGCACCCTGAGTAGGCCCTCCCTGGGGGAGCGCACCGGGCGATGGGAAGCTGTTGCTGGCCGCAGATGATCCGCCAAATATCCTGGGCCTAGGCCATGTTATGATTTGGTCCTAGCTAATACTAGCTGACCTTGGCTGATAGCAGAAGCTAAGCAGGGTCAGCCTAAGTTGGAGGGCAGGAGGACCACATGGAACCCAAATCCAGGGTTGGTGGCTAGTCAAAACAACACAACAGAAGAAGGCAATGGAAAATGTCATCTAGAATGCTGCCAAGAAAACTGCATAAATTCAGTCGTAGCTGTCAAGGCTAACTCAGTGACTAACTTGGTTACCTTTGTTTAACCCCACGGCAATAAAGTGTTGAATGGTAAACCTAAGATTGTTAAATTAGGCTTAGATATCTGCATTGCAAAATTCTGAACAATTGCTAGATGGCAGCAACAAAATACCCTCATGACTTCCACCTAGTAGCCAACTGGATTTTTGTCACAGAATTGGTAGCTCTCAATGTGAATTTTGGATTTATTTCCAAAGCTCCAGTCCAGCACTCTGAAAACACACACACACACACACACAAAACCAGTTGTATTATCCTGGGCCTTGGGTCTCTATTTGGTTTTCTTGAGGAGGAAAAGATCTTCCCATTTTTATCGCCCTCTCATCCTAATACCCATATCAAGGTCATTCATTTCTAACACAGAGCTTTCAAGAACGGGACGATAAATCAAGTCGGGCAAATTATTTGGCATTAAATTATCCTGCTTCCTAGTGGCTGTGGGAAGAGAGGCGAGCCAGACTGATCCGCTGCCAATATGACCTGCTGCAATAAATAAGCAAGATGGCCAGTTTTCAAACTGGGAAAATTACACAGCCTTCAAGAACCATGGAGTTCAATGCCTCATTTTCTTTTTCTTCCTATTTGCTGGCTTCTCTGTATGGAAGGGGAGGGGGAAAAATACAAAAAACCTGCCTGCAGCCCTTAAAATGGTATTTATCATTCGCTGAAATGTTTACAGTAATTATTGCTTAACTGTGTCTATATAAGCCATTTATGTTTCTAATAAGTTTGCTAAAAATGATACTTAATTTACCACCAAGGCACAAGCACTGACACACAGCTTAAAAAAATAAATAAATATTGGGACTAATAAAATAGGCACACATTGTTTGTTTACAGCAGGAACTTGTCATCTCAAGCAGAGGGAAAGCATTACATTTGCTGAAATTCCTTAGACCACGGCAGAAATTACCTTGCAGGTTCTTCTGAACTTCCAATGCAATATCCAGGGCATTAAAAGGCAGAACTGGCTTGCTAGCAATTTGCAAAATTGCTTCTCCTGTCAACTGGAAAGAAAAAAAAAAGAATCAGACACTCAGGTGCATTCTAACATAATCCACTGGGTACTTTCCACCAAACACTGAGCCCTAAATAAGCGATGTTCCCATTAAGGCATCTGGACTGGCAGATAAGCACTTCAGTTTTTAATGATGGATGCCTCACCTGGAATAGCAAGGTAGTTTTGAAAACCAGATTAAATGGCCTGCACAGCTTCACTTTTCAAATGAAGGAAATGGTTAAGGGTACAAAGGGACCATTGATTCCAATGGGAAAAAAGTCCCTGTATCTATGCAGACACTCAAAGAAGCAGCGCAGAGAATTTTTGGACTATTAAGCAATATATGTTTGTATGAGACTCTGAAACAGATGATCAATAGGGCAGGAATTTTTTTCAGTGTTGTCAATGCTGTTAAATCCCTGTAGATTACTTAATTTATAGATACGTTGTTAATTATTCTGCATTCCTTTAAAAAAAATGAGTGTCCTTTGGGAGAAATATCAGACTCGAAAAGGTGGTTTACCTTCTTATCTCTTTTACGCTTTCCATAGCTAATCCAAGGTTATTGTGTTAGAATAACAATTAACTTCTCAGCGCTCCCTGCACATCAAAATGCATTTGAGAATTTCAAAGGATGCAACTATAATTTGCATCATATTTTAAAGGATATCTATTCCTCCTCTCTTGTAGTTGTATGGCTTGTAATTCTTTTGGGATCTTGCCAGGGGTGGGCTTCAAAAATTTTAGCAAGGGGTTCTCTGCCTGGTTGCTGGGTGGGCGTGGCCATTGTGGGCATGGCCTAGTCGGCTTCCTGGACCACAGCAGGGGAGGTTGCCCTCCCCGGGCTCCAGAGGCTTTCCTCAAGCCTCCGGGAGGGTGAAAAAGTCTCCTCAAGCTCCCGAGGCCATCTGGAGGCCAGAAATGGGCCTGTTTCTGGCCTTCCCAAACTTCCAATAGGCCCGTTTTTTGCCCTCCCTGAGCCTCCCTGCACTTACCTGCATCCAAAACGAGCTGTGTGGGGACACCTTGGAGGGGCGGGGGTGGGTGGGGCCAGCCAGGAATGGGATTTGGGGATTCTCCAAACTGCACAGAATCTCAGCTAGAGGTTCTTCTAAACCCCTGTGAACCCTAGCAGCCCATCCCTGGATCTTGCTATATGTGTCCACGTTTCAACTGTCTTTGATTCTGTACAAGACCTACTGTATGTCACACTGAGGCTCTTGGTCTTGACCTGTTCCAGTTACTGGAGACCAGTGATTCATTGTAAACTTGCTTTGGAAACTCAACAAGTGTTTGAATTCTCTCCAGTTGTTGACATTTATTGAGTGATTTTTTCCCCCAACACAGCCTGGCATAGATAGCAGGATAAGAAAGTCTCTAGAATTGTACTCTTTAAAGTTCCCAATGGAGATTGTTACTTATTAGCTGGGCCATATGTCAAAAGTCTGGTTTGGCACATTTGATATTGAGAGATTAGCATGTCTACAAAAGACTGGAGGAATGGAAGGGAAAAGATGGTGTCATTTTGATTTTTGGGAAGTGGGATGCATTGACTGTTCATTGGCAGGGATTCAAAATATGCAGCTTATGTGAAAAAGTTGAGAAGAGAAAAGAAATGAACATGTCCTCTTGCAATTTCTATTGACAATAGGTAAACAGTGATGAAGTATGAAGTATTATGAAGTATTATAAAATATGAAGTATTTTTAACAACGGCACTCTATCTTTGGAACATATTTTCCTGATCCATATGCTAGTGGCTTTATGAAATTAGGGATAAAGGTAAAGGTTCCCCTTCCACATGTGTGCTAGTTGTTCCCGACTCTAGGGGGCGGTGCTCATCTCCGTTTCAAAGCTGAAGAGCCAGTGCTGTCTGAAGACGTCTCTGTGGTCATGTGGCCAGCATGACTAAACGCCGAAGGCACACAGAGCGCTGTTATCTTCCCACCAAAGATGGTCCCTATTTTTCTACTTGCATTTTTTACGTGCTTTCAAACTGCTAGGTTGGCAGAAGGTGGGACAAGTAACGGGAGCTCACCCCATTACGCGGCACTAGGGATTAGAACCGCTGAACTGCCAACCTTTTGATCGACAAGCTCAGCAGTTTAGCCACCAAGCCACCGTGTCCCTTCATTTATCCCTAAATTAGGGATAAGCTATCCCAAAAATGCTTTTTCAAAAGGCAACTAGACTTCCTTTGTTTTTCCTTGAAGGTGTTTTGCTTTTCTTCCTTGTCCTCAAGGAAAAACAAAGAAAGTCCAGTTGCCTTTTGAAGAAGCACCTTTGGGACAACCATGACCTGGATGACTGAGAATCTTCATAGACATAAGCTAAAACTTTTTTTTTTTTTTTGACTTTTTGACTTTGGAACCTTAGTATGTTCTACCAATTGACTTAATCTTTAGTTAATGCTCCCAAAGTTTTTTCCCCTTTTACTATTATTTATATACAAAGAGGGGGGAAAAGATAAAAAGGAAAATAAAATGCATAATATACTGTTTTATCCATAAATACTCTGTTTCCCTCAAAATAAATCATCCCCTGATAATAAGCCGAATCGGCCTTTTGAGCGCATGGCAATAAGGCCAAGTGCTTATTTCAGGGTTCAAAAAAATATAAGACAAGGTCTTATTTTCAGGAAAACATGGTAGTACCTATATATAGAATTGTAACTATTTGCAGCCAGAATGATATATCTTTTTTCTTTTCCTTTAGTGTATTTTGTCACTTTAAAAAAATTAGAAACTTTTTTTCTTTTTTTCCCCCACAATGCATTTATTTTGATCTTTGTGGGCTTTCCTCCCCACATTTCTCTGTAACATTATTTTAAAAGCCATAAAAGGATAATTTTTTAAAAAGAGAGGAAAGCCAGGGAATGAAGCGTAGAAATGTATTCTTCTTTTATCTGTAAGGTACTCTGAGGTTACATTAAATATATTTCATGCATACACACTTTCTCACATATGCACCTCATTGCTAGGGGGAAATAAACTAAAACTCATGAGACGTTTCAAGTTCCTTTGTTTCACATAAACTGATAAAGAACTATCTGTGGAATATTCTCTTTTGCAAATAACTCTGCATTATCTGATCTTTTTTTAAAAAAAGATTATTTTTTTATAAACTGAACAGATGCATCTGAAATGATAGGAGATAGCAAAATTGTCTGGAAAGGAGAGATTTAAAAATATCTGAAGGAAGTCTTTTTTAAAAAAAAAACACAGAATAAATGTAGGGCAAGGCACACTCTTTGAGTACAAAGGCAAAGAACACTATAGAATCATCGAAGTGAAGAAATTTCTGAGGATAAGGGTTATAACTAAATAACATGGAAGATTAGGGAAAAGGCAGGACGAATTGTCATCTTCTGTGAAGGAAGTGGGGAAGAAAAGTTCTGCAGAACAAAGTTAATTCTCTCTGGAAGGCAAGTTGAAATTGGATGTTGCAAACGTAAGAATATGTATAAAATATGGCTTGAAGCTTAACACCTCAAAAACCAAGATCATGGTCATCAGCAACCAACCCATTAATTTATCACCAATAAATTTGGAAGGAATACCACTAGAAAAAGTTGAAAGGATTACATAACTCGGTTTTAATTTAGATGAAAGCTGGGACATGATCAGTGAAGTAAAGACAAGGATAGAGAAAGCTCGAATAGCATTCTTCAAAATGAAAAAGGTCTTCTGCAGTCACAACAAAAGCTTAAGACTGAAAATCAGGCTTGTTAGATGTTACATCTTTTCTATCCTGCTCTACGATGTAGAGAGTTGGTCTCTGACAGAAAGCCACTTGAATAAACTAGAAGCATTTGAAATGTGGATTTTGTGAAGTTTCCGAAAGATGCCCTAATTAATTCATGAGCCATGAGCCAAACTTCAAAAGAAATACAATAATTTATTAGGAGCACCATTTCGGCAAAATTCGGATGCAGTTAGAACTAATCCCACATAGATTTACATTCCCCCATGACCCTCTCTCTCCCCTCCTCCCTGGCCATGTCATAAATCACATTCTCCAATTAACCACTTTGGCTGGCTGTGAAATCCAACACCCTCCTACTGATTGCGGTAAGAAAGCATCTATGGAATGTAGCTTCAGTTAGGGAAATCAATCAGCTCTATTAGTTCTCCCTCCCTCCTGCTCATGGCAACTTGAAAGCTTTGCAAGTTGACAGATGTACAGATGGCTGTTACGTATAAACTGGGTTAACAAAATCACAAATGAGGAGATGATAAGCCACCTGGGAAAGCCAAGGGAAATCATCAAAACCATTAAAAAGCAAAAGTTAGAATATTTTGGACAACACCAGAAAAATATGGCATCTTTCACTTAATCCTCCAGGGAGAGATTGAAGGCAAATGAGGTCTAAGCAGAAGAAGAACATCATGGCTTCAAAACCTAAGGGACTGGTTTGGACAAAACTCAGCAGCATTTTTTCATGTGGCTGTTGACAAAACTAGGATTGCCAACATGATCGCCAACATCTGATGACGGATATGGCACAAGAAGAAGAAGAAGAAAAGTGAGGAAGTGAGAGAGACATCAGATTACAGTGTATTCCGACTGAATGTTCATACAGCATTTCATACAATTTACAATGTTGTTGAAAAGTTTCTTAAAGGGTGTCCAGAAATTCAAGCCATTGCCCTTACATAATAAATGAACAAGGCCAAGATCTTAAGCCATTATACATCACAGTTTATGTTTAAGCAACAGATTCTGTGTTTTGCTAATCCGGACAAGAGTCAGCATGGTTTAATGGATTACATGTTGGAGCAGAAGCAAGGAGACCCAAGTTTAATCCATACTCAACAGGAAAAGTCAATTTCATTCAGTCTATCTTACCCCACAGGTGGTTATGGGTAAAAGTAAAAGGAAGAGCTTTCTTGACTTCCTGAATGAAAGACAAAGCGTGTGCTTAATAGTTTTTAAAAGTTTAGACTGGTTTTGTGCTTCAAATAAGTGAGCTTTTTTTCCCCACTCATATATTAAATATACTTAGAG